TGGTGTCTTTCACAGAAGGTCTAATATAGTAAGCAAATTAAGTTTTAATAATATTATTGATCTCTGAGAGATGTTGCTTTCAGCCTTATGTGAACAGTAACTCCATTCTGTCTCATTCTCTATAGCCACCTTATTTTTCAGATACAAATGCAAAAATGCAAACTTAGGTTTTTATTTTGTTTTGTTTTGTTTGTTTTTGTTTTTTGAAAAAAGGACGCTGTTTTATATCACGGAGTTGATACTTCACAAGTGGAATCTGATTAAGTTCTTAAATAATCAGCTGAGGGAAAACTGAGAAAAAAATGGTTGCATGGCAAACGCATGCAATCTTACACCACCCACTTCTGTGAGTCCTGGACATGAGGTAGAGAATAAAGTCCTAACTAAAAGAACTAAGCATTCCTACCTACCTTGGGACATCCTCAAGGAAAAAGCATAAACTTCCGCAGACAAAACAGTCTTTATTCTCCATTCACTGAGCCAACATTTACAAGAGTATGAGGGATTAACTGTGTAAGGAAATCCTAAGTAAACCATTTCTTAAGACAACTAGGCTATGTTAAAGAGGTTCAACTCCGAAAAGGCAGATACTTCACATAAATGCCTCTCACTACCCGACCAACATCAGAGTCACAGATTTACAGGTGGTATGTTTTTCCTTTCCAAAGCTATGTAACCACACATCTGGATGGAAGAACAAACAAACAAACAATAAAGTTCAGTAAATACAATCTTTGAAGTGTGTGTTCAGTGGTTGGCAGGCAATCAGTTCTGAGTAGGCCCCTTTTTCCCGCAACACAATGCTGCCACTGTAGTCTTTTAAAATCTCTGAGTACTGTCTGGAGTAGAGCTCTATTACTCTTGCATTTTACTCTGCTCGTTAAGAAGGATCAGCACTTTTCCAAATTGATGTTTGACTTCTTTTTTCACAATGTTGGCTAATTTTGAGGGTCACATTTTCACGTTAACATGTTCGGGCTTAATTCTTAGAGATCCCAAACACCTGCAGCCCCAGTTCTCCAGACTTGGCCATTCTGAAAAGCAGGCGTGCATGGACCTACTTGGTAATCATGCTCTGGTTGCCAAGACATAAAACGAGCAGTTCCTCTCCTTTCCTTTCCCAAAATTATGAAATGTTTCTGTGGCATTTTACATTAATAAAAAAATATAAAGATATTTTGTGGGAATGATTATCCTTAAATCTCTATAAGTTTAAAGGATACATACTGTGTTAGATTTCAAAGACAGATTACCTATTGCTTTTAATGGAAATTTTGAGCAAAGGCTAAGTATGGTTTATTTCTCCCAACAAAGAGTTCTATGGCATTCTGTGGCAAAATTTGGATGTTGGCTGAATATCTTCAGTTGTATTATCATGTTTACTCAGTACATTTAACTTGATATTAAGGGATAATACATTGAAAAAGAATTAATTTTTGAGTTCTGAAAGTACTAAAAGTTCGTGAATAGGGGCTCTAATTCTCACCAAAGCTATGTTTATCTGTACATAAATACACACAAATATCCAGAGGAATCAGAATGTTGTCTTCTATCTTAGGGTCTTAACCTCAGGGAATTATGTGTAAAAGACTTGCATAAAATACAACTATTTCCTCTTTTACATCCAATATATTGGACAGTGAAATATTAAATTTATATGATAATCCCAGTTGGTATCCATGAATACCCATATTTGAAAATTATCTCAGGCAATGAACACCAAAATAACCAGGAAGTTGCTAATGAAAGAAAGAAAGGGAGAGAGAAGGAAAGGGAGAGAGAAGGAGAGGAAGGGGAGGAAGGAGATGAAGCAGAGGAAGGAGATGAAGGAGAGGAAGGAGATGAAGGAGAGGAAGGAAGAATAGTTCTGATCAGCCTGCTGGGTAAGCATCACTTAGTAATCCTTTGAGTTGGAAAGAGTTCTTAGTGCAGGTTTGGCACTGGTCACAAATTCTGCAGCCTCTTCGGATGGAAGAACTAGCAGCTTTGCAATGTTTCTTCCAAAGTGGGCTGTAAGCAGTATAATAGTTGGAGATTTTAAAAAAATTAGCTTTGATAGAAGACATAATAGAATGTTACATTTCTTGTTCATCTTCATGAGGTGAAGACGACACCTTATTTTCCTTTGTATGTTCATTTTTCTAGTCTGAGAATTCATTTAAAAATCATTACATTTTTAATTCCCTCAAGCCAGATCTCATTTGAACAATAAGCGAACATCTAGAAAGGGAAAACAATTAATTTAAAGCTAGACTCGTTTCCAGATCTACACATTTCTTTAATATCCCTAGTAACATAGAGGTTGAATTGCATATATTATTATTATACATGCTTTAAAATCATGACTATTATTTTTAGAACAATGGGAATTGGTATAGTTTCAAAAGTACTTATAAAAATTTTTTCCTGATTAACTTCTATTGTCATAAGACTAAGCAAGAACGGTAAATTTAGACATGTAAGAACCATGTAAGAAGCCGTCAACTGCACTGGGACTTACTGTGAGCTTTTTTCACTTCTCTGATTATGTGGTGCAGCAGGGCTGCATTTTGACTCCATACTACATCCTATTCTTGCTGCAGAATATTTAATAGTGCCTTACAAAACCAAAAACCAAGAGCACATTGAGTCAAGCATGACAAGGAATTATGGCTGAAAAAAAGTGGCTGAAACTCAAGGCCCTCTTGTAAGTAGGAAGGAACAAGCCCAAAGAGTGCTGAAGTTTTATTAAATTAGGTGTATATTTAACCTAACTCATCATTGAAATGATGAACAAGTGTTTAACAATGGTGGAATGAAATATGTTGCTATTAGTATTACAATGATCTTCTACAGAAATCTGGACAACTAAGAGGAAAGTACGAATAAATAAATATTTTAAGCTATTTCCAAAGATAGATGATAGTTTCAACTCAGTATTTTTTTGTCCTATTGTGTAAACAATGCTTTTTCCTTTAAACAAAAGAGAGGTGAAATAATCCTAATGTAAAAATGGTGACCCATGCTTTTTTTTGTTTTTTTTTTTTTTTTTTTAACAGTATATTGGAATTCTACTTGAATAAATGTTTGCAATGTAAACATGAAACAAAATGTAAAGAAGCGCTCCTCCAAATTGTCTCTAAAAGAAAATAAAGTATACAAAACTAAATTGAAAAATTCTCATTCCTGCAACCTCCTCCATACACTTGATGCACATAAGCACAACCCTGGAAGAATATATTTCCAACGGGGAGAGAATCCGTGCTCAGATATTATCTGGGAAAAATGCATTGAAATTCCTCTGTGATGAATAGACTTTTTTTCTCCTCAGGGTGACCTCTACCTTCAGAATATGATGGTTTTATTATGATTAATAAATTTCATTTCCACAGAGGAAAGGAACAGTGTCAGCTTAAACTTAAAGCAAGTAGGTTTCTTTTTAAATGCTAATTTTTAAACACGCCTATGCATGACACCAAATTTAGAAGCTCAGAAGGTTAGCAGAATAGATTCTGATTTCCATGCTGAAAATAGTAAGGATTTAAACTATATTGTCACACTGAAAATCAGTAAGCTAGTACATAGCTGTTGGTTCATTTATTCACATGCCAGAATGCTTATTTCTTATTAAAATTAGTGGCATTTAAATGCTTTCTGACAGTTTACCCTGAAAATAATCACTTCAGGTAAACAATTTATTACAATTTTGCACATGCAAATAGCAAAGTATTTTCAAAAAATTAATAGTCAATGTGATTGTATGTTCTACAAAATCTTAAATCAATATATATATGCCAAGTTGTACACTTATAAACCCTTGACTCAGGAACACAACTGATGAACAATTCTGATGCACTAGAAATGAGAACAAAGTAAGCTCTACTGTTTTCCAGTATGTCTAGAATAAGTATTCAGAACACAGCAGGAAAATATCCCCTAATGTTTGCTAGCGTTTTGTTTTACTGGCACTGCTTTTTAACTACACCAACACCTTTCTGTGTAATATAAGAAAAAATTCGACTTTGCAATGCCAACATGCGTAACATTGTGGCTGCAAACTATTTACCAGCAGCTCCATGCTGAAATCCTCTGCTCAGGCTAAGCCTCGATTTCTTCAGCGATTTTCATTACAAGCTTTAAATTTGCTTAAATATTGCGTAAAAGGGCAGTTTGTTGTCCAACACAAACAGAAAAAGAGAATTGGAGAAATTTCTTCTAGCAAGATCTCTGAAATTAAATCTCTCTTTTTAAATCACCAGGACTAGGTATTGCTGGAACCTCTTAGACAGGAAAGTATGCCTTTCTCTAATTTTAATGACCATTTTAGGCTCTTTGG